CCCCAGCTCGTCTCACTGGCCCGGTTCCCCGCAGAGCCGCCCTCATTGGCCGCCGCCCTCACAGGGGCGGAGCCCAAAGTCGCTGGAGTTTTGCTCGCAGGACGGGACATCCAAGAGGTGAGAGGCTGACGTCGAGGTGACGCGCAAACTTAATCACATCTGACGTCACGTCTGGTTGTCTAGGCTCCCCGGCCACGATTGGACAGGCTGGATGGGGGGTCCCTTGCTAATTGGGTGTCCAAGTAGCTGGGTCTGTTTACCTGGAGTCCGAGTCCTGAGAGAGGAGGGCCCTCAACCCCAAATGTGTGTCCGAGTGAGGACTTCGTCCCCCGACGGCCGCGGGAAGCGTTTGGAGATTGGGGCGTGTGTACGTTTGCGGGAGGATGCAGTAGGCGGGGTCACTGGAGGGCTGCTCCTCAAAACTCGGTTTAGCGCCGTTGAGCGGATGGAATTGGGGGGGCGAGGGGCGGGGGACGCCTTCTTAGTGTTTTCACCCTAACCTTGAAATTCGAGAGTCGACCCTAGACTTTAGGTTTGTATTAGATTGTGTGGGACAGCTTCAGTACAATATCATGACTAAGGCTTAAATGCCTTTGGTGTGGTGGGTATAGCGTTACAGAAAATGGAACTTCAGTGTCTTTCCCACGCCGTGCCCGCTTGGGATCCCATAGGAACAAGTCCTGTTCCTCTGGAGCTCGCCGTGGGGGCGGGGTTGTGTGCGCCTTTTCACTGGGGGCGGGGGGTGTTCTTGGATGGGGTGGTTCCCTCCTTTAAAGGATCCTGGGAGAGGAGAACTAGCCTCCGCCTAAATCAAAGGAAACATTGACACCTCTCTGATCCGGTTTGGAGTCCTGTCCATTTTATCTGACGGGGATGTGGGCAAACCTAGCTGGGGTTTCAGCTACTGGGGTGAAGTCGGGAAGATGGGGGTGTGAGGCTGTGCGGAGGCCGGGCATAGTTTCCATTCCTCGCGCCGCTCCGCGTGCGGGCGTGGCGAGGGGAGGAACTAACCAGGAGCCCTCTTGAGGCTGTGCGTGCGTGGACGGACCCACAGGCTTCCCCGACAGGAGGAGGCATTAACTGGGCGATCAGAAACACCCGATAGAAAACAAACCGCGGAAAGGCTTGAAAATGTTGAAAAGCAGTTTTTAAAGATGACTTCTAAAAAAAAAAAAAATACTGGGACGCTTGTTGTTTCTTTCAGATTGTAAAACCTTGTTGCGTTTTACAGGGATTCCCCAGGAAAATTTACAGGCAGTATTTCCCGTCCTTTTAAATTGGATAGGGCTAGATTTTCCAAAAAGGTCCAAGTGGGAATTTTTCATGATTTACCGCCCCAGTCCCCGCCCCTGCACCTGCATAAGTTCCTTCCTCAGCCCACGGGTACAATTCAGAATCTCAAGAATTGTACGCATACAGTATGAATTACAGAACTAATTCTTCTTTTATAGAGTATGGGTTATATGGAAAACACCTGTATTAACTGTTGGGTACATCACAGGAGAGCATTTTAAAAAAATTGACTTAATGTCAAACCTCTAGAATTGGCTAGTTGTGAAGACAAGATTAGCACTTGATAATTTAGTTTACTAGAGTGTGAATGATCTTAAATTCATTGAATAGAGAAATTAAGGGAATCAGAAAAAATTTTAAAAATAAGTTTATACTAGAATTTTTTTCCTGTGTTTGCTTTACTTTGGTAGGCAAGTATTTACTTTGACAAATCTAAAGCCTTAATTATTTGTCAGGGGGAGGAGTTTGACCAGAACAAGTAAAACCTGTATCCCACTGCTTTTCCTGTGAGGGTGGGTAAATCCCCTCCCACAGGGCATCTTAATATGGCCTTCTCTTTCTCAGAACTTCTGAGGACATCCGGGGTAGGGGAGGAGCAAGGGTGGTTTTCACTGAGGTTTTCAAACGTCTGACCTGCAGTCACTTTCTAGTAATTGATTTTATTTTCTTAATTGTAGTAGAAGAAATTTTCTCATGTCATCCCCTGTTTTAGGGGTAACAATCTTTCAATGGGTAATAAATTATTGTAGTCGGTTATTGTTTGTAGTTTTCCTCTTTTGAGCTTTTCCACTATGAAAGGAAGCAATGACCATGTAGTGTTGCGTAGTACTCATTATAACTGCCTGAATCAGATGGACAAGTTGTGATACAAGGGTAATTCCTTCTGAGAGGGCTAATTAGAACGTTGCTCTTTGGGAAGTTCGCCATGTTGTAGGTATTTTCTGTATTCAGTTTAAATAATTAACAAATAATTATTGAATGCCAATTAATTGTAAAATGCTGTGGGGGGGTGAAAAATAAATGATATAGTATTTAAAGGAATTTTCTGTTTAATATAGCAAATGAATGAACATACTCAAAGCAAAGCAAGTAGATAATTAATAAATGCTAATATGGGTGGTAATGGTGATAAGCTCAAAAATTCAAAGAAAGGAGAAGTCTGGAGAGGTTTTTTGGAGGTGGTGAAACTTAAACATCTCTCAAGTGCAGCGTAGATTCCAGATAAGTGGAGGTGGTATAGATGGGAGAGGCCAACTAAAAATGATCTTAATGGCCATTCTAAGTGAGCCCGTTCATTTTTTGAATGAGGAAATTGAGACACCATTAATTTTAAAACAACTAGCTGTCAAACTTTAAATTTAAATAGCAAAGGTTATTCAAGTAGCAACTGAGTTTATTTGAGAATAGCAGAGGAATTGCAATTTGGGACCTACAAACTATGTCGAACCATAGCCAAGTACAAAGAGATAAGGGAGGTCAGCTTTTATTGGGTTTCAAATTAGGAAGAGTTGTTTTGAACAGGAGCCTATTGGTGAAAAAGGAGAATTTGAGGTTGTGGCAGTTTTTTATTAGCAGCAACCAGAGAGCATTTACTGATGCTGAGGCAAGTAGGGAAATCTTTCATCTTGCTGGCTATGTAAGTTTCCACGAGTGTTCAGAACTCTCCCTTCATAGTTTCCTGACTCTAATTTGAATGTTTCCTCCATTCATTTTCATTCTGCACAACTTACTGCAACCAGGAGAGATAGAGATAGAGTCTAAATCAGCTGTTTAAGTGTCCTTCTAGTCACTATATTAACTGAATGGCTACTATTTGGATTTAATAACTGAAAAAAATATGTCTTACATAGTAATTCAATGCAAGGAACAGGCAAAAAGCAAGTAATCTGATGCAGAGCCTGTTCCATCTCTGATGTTTAGTATACAATGCAGGCAGGAGGATGTGTGAACATCAAGGCCTTTGCTGGCCTTCAAATGCTGGGCCACCCCTCATTCCTGGTTGCTACATACTTATTGACCATTTCTCACTTATCCTTTGGAGCTGAGGTCACCAATTCAGATACCTTCAGAGGCCATTAGGCACCCACATTGATTGCAGCAGCCATACACAATGCCACAAAAACAGAAGGTGCTGAAAGGACAGTGAACTGGAGATGTTTGAAGGACTCAGTGGTTTTCAGGTACACCAAGTCCTTTCAGCTCCTGGGATTGGCAGTTTCTGCCCCTTTCAAATCTTGGGGGAAACTATCCTACCCCTAGACTTCCACCTCTATACTCTTTAGACTCCAAAGTGCTTTCCCCCTCTTTGGAACAATCTGGTTCATTTCAAATAATGTGATCTGGAAGTAAGTAGAGTACCCTCCATTCTCCTGATATTCCCCTACCTCCAGTTCAAATCCCTTTTTTCCCCCCTTTAAGGTTTCTTTTCTTTTCCTTTACAATTACAGTTGACATACAATATTATATTAGTACAACATAATGGTTAGACATTTCTGTACCTTATGAAGTGATCATCCCAGTAAGACAGGACATCATACATGATTATTACAATATTATTGACTGTATTCCCTATGCTGTACTTTATATCTCGTGACTATTTTTATAATTGGTCATTTGTATTTCTTAATCCTTTTTATCTTCTTCACCCATCCCCCCAACCTCCCTCCCATCTGGGGACCCTCAATCTATTCTGTGTATCTATGAGTCCACCACAGTAATTTGAAAAGCTTGAAAAAATGTCCTGTCTACAGAATTGCACAATATTGTGACCAAAGCGGCCTTTGCTCCCATATAATTGTTTTTATGGCTTTTTAAGCATATTGCAAAGTGCCTTGAAAAGTGTCAAACAAACTCTGAGAATGAGAAGAATGGTAAAGAGTGACCTCACAACTTTTATTATTTTCATGTTGTTTTGTACTGAAAAGGAGCACATGTATTTCTGAATAAACTGAGAAGGTAGAAAGACTAAAGGGGGCAAAGTGTCTTTTCAGCTTTTCACTTTTAAATAGACTAATAGTGGGTCACACTCCAATATCAAGAACAATACTGGTAATTAATAATAGCTTATTCTTTATGGGGTTTTGCAGTTTAAAAGCAATTAAGTCACATGTCTCCTTGAATGTTCTCTCTATGAAGTAGCCATTGTTTTGTACTCAGTTTACCTTTGAGGT